GGCAAGCGAAGCCTCGATAGAGGTGGAGATTTCAGGTCCAAAATAGCATTCGTGTGGTAATAATCAAGTGTGCATTTGTGTGTTGAGTGGGTATTTTGGGCCCAATTTTTTCTTTCATTAATTCCTCATTTACTCATTCAGGAGAGACAGCATAAAATAATGTTTAATTATTCACTGAGAATAGAATGTCTGTTGAGATTTCTGACAATGAATCTTAGTGCCTAGCAAGTTATTTAATAACAACTTTGTGCCTCAGTTTTCTCATCTAAAAATTGGGTATAATAGTAGCATCTATCTCATAAAGTTATTGTGTTTATAAAATGAATACCTGTAGAGAAATGCCCAATATAGAGAAAATGATCAAGAAAAATTAGTCACTGTCATCACCGTTATCATCATAATCACTGTCATCATCCTTCTTGTTATTCATTCGTTCAATAAACGTTTTCTGAGCCCCAGATTGTTGTATGCTTCTTTCAAAGATCTCAAAGCCTAGAATAAGAGACAAACATGTAAATAAATTATTCAGTGACAAACCACACTTTGGTAAAGTTAAAACATCTATTGGCATGCAGAAAATTGATCAATTTTCTGTGGAGGCGATTACAGTGACAGGTGCAGGGGTAGAGAAAATCTTCAGTGCAGATGTATCCCTTATGTCATGCATTTAGGGACAAGTAGGAGTTTGAGGGATGAAGAATTTAATGTATGCTTAAGTCTTTTCCCTCAGCATAATCCGTTTGGTTCTACATTGGCTTACAAAACACTTAGACTTTTTAGCCTTTATCCTGACTCTGTGTGTGGTGGGAGAGAGACATAGTATAAAACAGAACAGAATTGTTGTCACCAAGGACAGTGTGGAACAAAGTCACATCCTCATAACAATGAACACATATGTCTGGTTACTTGTTTGGGAATAATCAAAAAGTCTAGAGGACCAAGAAGATTTAATTTTCATAAACTATTAAAAGAACTGCTTTCTAGTATCTAGGTGAAGACTTTCAAAATCTTAGCACTCTGGTTAGGAGGATTGCTTGAGTTCAGGAGTTAGAGACCATCCTGACCAAGAGTGAGACCTTTCTCTACTATACAGATCAAATCTGCTCCTAGAGTAGGAATGGCCAGAAAAGTTATCATTCCTTGGATGTACTTTGTTTTATTGGTTTGAATTCAGGACAATGTACATAATTTGCATAATGCTGAAGCAAAATTATAAAGAAAATTGATACCTAAAATTAAAAAGAAAAATGAACAAATGAACCTGTGAGGCAAATTGATGGCATACTAACACAGAGGACCTATATTGGATTAGGGGCCACCCTTCTTGAGTATGACTGCATGTTAACTAATTATATGTGCAATGACTCAGCAGTTTGAATATACATACTGAGTTGTATACACTGGAGATAGTCTCCTATTGGTTTACCGCTTGACTCCATGTGGTTTATTATTGTGGATTGGTCCCCAATTTGCTTATGCTTTCCAGTATCCATGTCCTTAGGTAGTCCACTCTTATACTGACTTGAGCTTAGCATGTGACTTGCTGTATTAGTTTTTTAGGGATGCTGTACCACAAACTAGGTGATTTAAACAGCAGATATTTATTGTCTTACCGTCCTGGAGGCTTGAAGTTCGAGATGAAGGTGTCAGCAGGACCGTGCTTTCTCGCACTAAATGAAGGATTTGTTCCGGGCTTCTCTCCTAGCTTTGGCAATTCCTTGGCTTGTGGCAGCGTAACTCTAATCTTAACATGGTGTTCTCCCTGTGTGCGTGTATGTTCAAATTTCTCCTTTCCGTAAGGATACCAGTCATATTGGATTAGGGGCCTACCCTACTCCAGTATGACTGCATCTTAATTAATTATATATGCAATGAACTTCATTCCAAATAAAGTCACATTCTGAGGTGTTGGAGGTATTGGACTTCAACATATGAATTTTGAGAAGGGGGCATCATTCCACCCATAAAACTTTCTTTAACCAATGAGATAATATTAATAGCAAATGTAGTGAAACAGACGCTTAAAAAATGCTTATACTTTGGGACTTGTGCTCTCTTGCTGCTTTTAGAAATCTGTCAGCACCACCATGTGAACTAGTTTGGACTAGCCTGCTGGATAATGAGAGACAAATGGCTCATTGCCCCCATGACAAGTTGACAGTCAGCCAACCTTCATAAGCAGAGAAACTCAGCTGATTGGCAGCTGACCTTAGTGAGAAAGTCTAATGGACACTAGCTAAGCCCAATTCAAATTATACTGGGAACTAAATAAGCCCATCGTTTTAAGCTATGAAGTTTTGAGTTTTTGTTGTTGCTGTTATACAGCAACAGATAACTTTTTGTGTGATAGCAAAGGCAACAGAGGGGGGTTAGTTTCCAACTCTAAAATTTCTTCTAAAATTTTTTACGTGAATAACTGGCTGCTACCAACATGAAATCTTGGTCTGGTAAATTCAGCGACTACACAGACTTGTCTTCTTTCTTTTCAGTGTTTACGAGAGAACTTCCTAGAGTGAACAAAGGGATTTAAAAATTAAAAAAATAAAAGAAAAAACACTTTCTCAATACATTGCCTACATCCATTGCTTAGAAAAAGGATGGAAAAGAAAGTAATCTCTTTCAAAACTATTACTTCTTTCTATATTCTCAAAAGCTATCATTTAAGAAATTACCAATTGTTCCCTTATTCATTAATGAGCAAATCCTTAATTCAACAACTTTGCTTACCATCTATTTAACAGACCTTGAGTATGCTAGTTACATTGCACTTGTTGATGTCTTTTTACTAGAAATAGACTCACAACCTCAGAGCAGAAAGGGCCCCAAATGTCTTTTATTCTAATCTCTTACCAGCATAGGAATACCCTCCGTATCACTCCCCACAAGCAATCTTTCCTCATCTGATTGCACCTGTCTTATGATGAAAGGCTCATTACCTCATGAGGAAGCTCATTTTATTTTAGATTAGTACATCTTGTTAGAAGTACTAAAGTGCTAAATTCTAAGGTATTATATATTAATACTTTCTTCTCTGACCTCAAATCTGCCTTCTTATAACATACTCTGATTGCTCTACCCTCCTCAAGGTTCTATCCTTCCACTTGTTTTGCAACCATTTTAAGGACAGTGTATCTGTTTCCTCTTCATATGATAGAACTTCAAATATTGGAAGGCAGAAATCACATCCCTCATTGGTCTCTTCTTAACTGTAATGATAAAAATTCTAACCATCATAATGATGTTATAATATGCCTACTCTAAGAAGAAAAGTTATCCAGAGAGTTTACCACCATTGTTAATAATTTTCTAGACTAAATGGAGAGATCATGAAAAAGAATGGCTTAGGAAAAAAACAAAATTAACTACAGACAGAAATATAATGAGGAACATTACGGCTAGTTTTGCTCTTTCTGGGAAAGTATTAGTGAGGCGCTCAAGAAAAATGATGACTAAATTCCACTTAATATCTTTAAAAAGAATCATGCGTTACATATTATCAGCAAATCTAGAGATATTTTTTTTCCACCGATAAAACTTCACTAAGTTCTCAAAGGTGAGCCTGTTTGAGAAGCTGTTGGACATGGCTGATGACATGATCTTTATTTCATGTAGGCTTTTCCTGGCCAGTCAGTAACATGTTCTTCCAGTTGTATCTGTCTAGAGAGTAGATTGGTAGGAAGATACTAATTGCATCAACCAATGAAGAGCACATTCATCATTGTTTTCCTTGGTCTCCCACGTCACCTAAATTTGTCTAGCTGATAAGTGTTTCTATCCTGGACATTGCTGGGAAAATGTGGCCATTTTTTCAGAGAATCAACAAAATGTGTTGGTGGTTTTCTCATCTCCAGGGCCCAAGTCAAACTTTGAAAATGATAAGTTGGAAAATAATCCCACATGAAATAAGATTACAGTGCTTCAAATAGGCCAAGAGGTTCAAATCCTGGTTCCTCTACTTACTGGTAATGTACTTTTAAGCAAGTTATTTAATTGTTTTGAGTCTCTGATTTTTCTTACATAAAGTGTTAATCATGCTTATCACAGAGTCTCTCCTGAAACCTATATCAAAGAACAATTCATTTTTGAGTGTGTATACCTATTATCAGTTATTAAATAATAAAACAAAAATACTCTGTATATTACTAACCTAAAAGAATTATTTCCTTCTTTGTACCTATGTTTATTATGGCCCATATCACACTGAATTGTAATTATTGATTATAATAGAACATGTTTCTATTTCTTTACTTAAAGTTCTTAAATAACAGAAATCGTGCCTTATTTTTCTATCCTCAATGCATAGCCCCGATATTCATTCATTTCATTATTTATAAGTTAAGATAAGGTTTATTTAATGCATAGGTCTTGAGGACACAATAATGAGGAGGACAGACAATGTTCTTATATTTACAGAGCCTAAATTCTCACAGGAAAGGTAGACCTTATAAGGATAACTATGATAAAATGATAAATATTACAGCAGAGGAAGAAAGTGCCCTATTTGCTTATTCAAATTAATGCTGTTTTGTTGCCAAAGCATTGCTTGGATGATTCTAATTATTTTACCTCTGTAAGGATATGACTTGAAATAGGACTTGAAATTACTAGTCTAACTGAATTTGAGTGTGCCAAATTTCTTAATTTTTCCCCCTACTGAACTAACAATGACCAATCACACAGTTGTAGTCTTGAGGAGAGAACTGGTTTGGAGACTAGAGAGCTTTTCAAATGACACTTTCTACAGTGTTGCTACACAAGTCAATCACAGGTAAGCAGCAGAAAGAATGTCAAATCAGATGGTGACAAGGGCCAAGAGTAATAAACATGGAAATTAACCAAAAAAGCCTGCACCATTCAACCCATTAAGTCTGTTTATTTCATAGAGGAGGAGCCCAGGTCCCTTCAGTCACAGAAGTTAATTGGGAGTGAGAGCTAAGCAAGACTCTTCAATTATTCATGGACACACATCAGTAACAAGCAATTATTGCATTTGGTTATAGGGTTGCAGTTGGCATTGAACATGGAACCAGATGTCTTTACAGGAACCTCTACAACCTCCAGAAGAAGATAACATCACTGTCTAATTACCAGCCATTGGATCCAATCTGCATATCCTGCCACTGTAATCCAGCATGTCTCGATTCTTACTGTACATTAAAATCACCTGGTATACATTAAATAAAAAAAACTGGTCCTGCCCCTCAAAGATTCTAACTTAATTGGCTTAGGGTGGGGCCTGAGCACCATGTTTCCTAAAAGCTCTTAAAGGGACACTTTTATGTGCAGCTGGAGAGAATAACTAGGGTAGCCACTTGGGATCACCATTAGCCAAAAAACAATGTGCAGAATCTTATTAATATTTATTTAACCTCTTTGCCATTTGTATTATAATGATAGTAAATCAATCAAATCCCACAGGGGGGGTGGTAATTGTTGGAGTTAGAACTCATGAGTACTAACCTGAACCTTTATTGTTAAATCATTCTGCAGCTTTCAGGAAGTTATTTTACCTATGAGATACTCACTTTCCTTGTCTGTAAACAGGAGGCTTTGGTCCAGATCAGATTCACAAAGATAAATGTCTACAGACTGTGCAACAACAGCAGAACATAAAAGAATGTGGTCTGTGGAGTCAGGTGCTCTGGATTCAAGTACCTACTTGCATTGTTACCTACTACCTATATAAACTTAGTCAAGTTATGTAATGTCTTTCCATCTTAGTTTCCACTTCTATAAAATGGAAATATTTATATTACCTCCTCATAGTGTTGTTGTGAAAGATAAATCAATGTGGTGAAAGATAATATATGTGAAGTTCTCGGTATAGTGCCCAGCTAGTGTTGTTTTTCTCATTTGCAAGGTAGTATGGCTTACAAGCTCATAAGACTATAAGCATAGCTATGGAAATAAACTTCTATTATGTCTGAGGCATGATCATTTGATTTATTTCTTCCCTAACCTAACTTACTCTTATTAATACACTCCCCATGGCAGAATGTGAAGGTTATACAGTTAATATATATAAAGCACTTAGAACACTGGAAAATACCAAAATTATAATGTGGCTCCATGTAACAAAACATTTGTACCCCCTTAATATTTTGAAATAAAAAAATAACTGAGCTTAATAACTTTGTAGATACCACCCATTATGTTGTTACTACATGCAGGGCAAAGCAGGTAATTATTTTAAATGGCAGGAAAGTTTACATGCTCTCTAAAAGGGGGAGATGATACTCAGCTTTAATTGATTTTTGCCAAGCCAGGTCTTCTGATCTTTTTCAGAAAAAAATTTTTATCTGAAATATTTGGGTTGACAATATTGACAGCTAAATCAAAATGTTAAAGTTATTAAACAATTATGTCAGGTGTCATCAGTTTGCAATGACTTATCTAAATTGGTGGGCGGGAGTGGTGGGAATCCTTTTAACTACAGAAACACTTTGGTTGCAGTTTTTAAGTCCTTTCCAAATGGCATAGACAGTGGTTCTTAACATGTGGTTTCTGAACCAGTAGCATCATTACCTGAGAACTTGTTAGAAATGCAAATTCTTGGGCCTCACTCTAGACCTACTTAATCAGAAATTCTGGGGGTGGGGCCCTGTAACCTCTGTTTTAATAAGGCCCCAGAGAATTCTGATGCTTGCTTAGCCACTAAATCACTGGCGTAGCAGAAAGAGCATGGACTTTGAAAGAGATTCAAATCCCAGCTGCATAATTCAGTAGCTATCTGAACTTGGTCAAATTGGATGGGGTAAACCTGAGATCAGCTGTGACATACCTCACATTGGAAGACTAAGTATGAATTGCCCCTTTTGATTTGGGCCCTCCTCTCAATCTTTCCTCCTCTATTTTCCTTACTTTTAGGGTAATAAATCTGTCAATTAAAATGTTCAACTGTTGCCTGCTAGGAGCCAATTCAATTGCAGTTCATACTTGCATGAAAAGAATCTCTCTTTAAAAAGAAACTTTACCCTCTGATGTCTTCTGGAAAACTCTGAAGACTCCAGAGCAGTTAAATGTTGGTAACTTGGCTTATCTCATTCCAGACTCTTCTTTATAGTGGAATTCCATATGTAATTACTAGGCTTCTTATGGGTAGACCCACAAAACACTTCCTGTCTTTTCTGTTCTTACTTTTGGGACAGGTTTTGTTTTATTTTGTTTCAAAACACCAAAGTAGTAAATCAGTAATGTATTCAGATAGTAATTTAAACCTTTTATTGACTCATTAAAAAAAACCCATAAAGACAAAGAAAACTCTGAAATCATGAACCACATGGAGGATACAAAAAAAGGGAAGAAATCATACTAATTTTCTTTTTCAGTCCTGACGTCCCTCAGTGTCCTGCTCTTGGAAGAGGAGACCCACAATATGTGGAAGGCGAAGAGGACAGGTACTGAGAACACAGACACTTAGAGTTGAAAACTACGAGTCTTTTAGTTCTATCATTCCATAAATATATTATCAGAATGAACCAAAAGGAGCTTTATTATTTAAAAAAACAGATTCCTGGGTAATACTCTAAATTTACTGAATCATAGATTATTAAATTGGGACTTTAGAATCTGAATTTTGTTTTGGAGCTTTGATACAACAGACCTGTATTTGGAAATCATTAGTCTAGTTATTCCTGCTTACTTAATGCTTGAACTCCATCAAACAGTTTTCCATTATCCATTTGAATAGTCTGCTTTTTTTTTTTTCTTTTGCATTTATACTATCCAAACACCTTTTGCTTTCAGGTGAAACACAAAGAGGTGGAATCCAGGGCCTCTCCCTACTGTGGAATCTGATGGAAGTTCAAGTGGTCATATAGGAAAGGTCACATGCCCTAAGCCACAGACGTTTCTGTCTGAGACTGCCGAAAACAAATGTACAGAGAGTTAGACATCCTGTAGGTATGCCAGTGAGAACAGTGGTGATGACTCCAGAGAGTTCTACCCACGGATTCAGTAATCTGACTTGCTGTGTCTCTCAGCTGCCGCTCCATTTCCCAGCCTCATTCTCTGGTCGTCCCATGTGTTATTTGTGTTACCCCATGCATGCCTTTTCCCCATAAGTTGGCTAGAATTACGATGTAAGTATGTAATTCAAAAATAGTAAATAAAAATTGTTATTCAAAAGGGAACAAAAGGAGGGTCTCTGATCTAATTCAGCTATAATTAGAAATAATTAATTTTTAGCAATTATTCATTAGCAACTGTCCTCCCATGGGGAATTTGCATGTGTGGGGAGTTTTAAGACACTTTGTTTAAAACTCCACCAGGAAATAGAAGACTTAGTTAAAATGGCTCTTTACTGATCCCCATTTTCAAGAATCTTAATTCTGTAGGATAGGCATGATATTCCCACCAAAGTTTCTTGATATTGAATTTATAGTCTCTCATATTTTGAAAGACAGATTTGAGACTGTACTACTTTGAGCACTGTAATGAAGACTAAGTTACAATGCTGAAGCATCTCAGCCAGCCTACCTTGCTAGAGCAAACCAGGGACAGTATAAATTATGAAACAGCACAGTAAAGCCTCAAAACACAGCACTTTGATAAGCCATACATGCACATAGAGGGCCTGATGGTGTAGGTAAAAGAAAATAGAGATGAAGGAAATATGTTCAAGCTTCCCAAATTTAACTCCTCTTTATTCTAGGAAAATACAGCATATGTGAGGAAGTTTTAATATTTATTATCACAGAATAATTTATGAAAATACATTCATTGAGGTATGGAAAAAGAGAGAATATATGTCCTCTACAGAAATAAATGGCATCCCCAAACCATCTTTGATGCAATCTCTAATTTGTCCCTGGCAGTCAATGTAAACATAGCCAAGTCCACTGCATTTTTATAAACTCCTTTAGTAAATTCAAGGTCATTTCTTAGGTTATCACAAATATTTATTATTATTTTTTTTACTGACAATATGGCACAGAATAAGTTCTTTACTGAGGCGCTGCATGACCTCTTTAAAAAAGCTTCACTTTGACATCAGGACTGGGGTGCTAAGTCTCATTAAGATAGTCAAGAATTGTTCTGGCAGTTCAGGATAACAGTGAGATTTGAAGCATCATGAGGATGGACCCTGCTGTGCTAACAGCAAGCGGGACCAACTCAGCTCTTCCAAGAAAACCTATTGTAAAATTGAAAGTACAGGAGAAAAGCATTCTGGCGTTTTAGAACAGAAGTTCAAATAGGGTTGGAAGTCAAAGAAAGTCAAAGAAAGAAGCTCATTATAAAAATCTATACCCCTTGGGTGATGCTTTTGTATACATTCATCGGCTGCATACAATATTTAATTAAAAGTGTCCTCTCACCTCTCGCTATTTTTTATACAAAATTAAAACTGCTGGTAGAAGAGTAAAAACTGTGGACTTAATTTGGGGCCCTTCTATCAGGAACTATGTGTTGTATAAAGTTAAGTACTAGTAAGAAAGGCTGACCCAGAAAGGCCTTCTTGTCATGTAGGGGAGCTAGTAGGCAGTTCAGGCTGCAGAAATCTGTGGGACAAATTAAGGTGGTAAAGATGACGGTCTAGAATATGATAAAGGGATCTATCCTCAGGGTGAGGAGGGAACATGAGGACACATGTAGCTTCTTCACATAATGATGAAAATAGTGTCAAATGAGCCTAACATCTTGCTACAGGTGACAAAATAGGGTAATTCTCCCAGAGGCAATTTCCCTTCCTGTCCTGAACTAAGCAATGTTTTCTTGCTATAGTACCAATTTAGCAAACTATATTTCCCATATAACTCAGATTACTTTGTCATTTAAAATTTTTCTCTCAACTCCCTCAAATGAAGGCAGGGATTACATATACAGTACTCTGATCTTATATTCCTAGTGCTTATCACAATTCCTTGCCCATAATAGTCACTCAGATAATTACTGAAGAAAGAAGAGGCAGAAGGAAAAAAGGGAGGGAGGGAGGGGAGAAGGGAGGGGAGGGGAAAATCCTGAATGCATCTAGGTCTGCAGTTAGCTCAGAAAGTTCCAGAAATCAGTGGGTTTTCAAGATGCAAAATTAGTAGATGCCTGCAGAGATAGATAGAAAAACAGCCAACAACATAGTGATTTGGTTGCAGAGCATGGCCATTGATTAAGATTAAGGAAGAATCTTTTCAGAGTCTGTCATGGATAATGAGAGATAAATTCAATTCTCAAAAAGGAGAGAGTGGGTGAGACAGTGCCTGTGACTGACACTAAAAATAAGATAGCAGACCAAGTATTTGGACAAGGACGTGGGGAAGAATAGAAAATAGGACAAAAATAAAAGGTCACTGTTTTTATTTATACAATATTTTGTTTTTCCATATCCTTTAAATCAAT